CACTGTGGAAAACAGTATCGAATTTCCTCAAAAATTTAAAAATAGAACTGCCAGATGACCCAGCAACTCCACTTCTGGGTATTTATCTGAAGAAACCCAAGACGCTAATGGAAAACACACATGTACCCCTGTGTTCATCGCAGCATTGTGTACAGTAGGAAAGACATAGTAGCAACCTGTGTCCAATGACAGACACATAGATGAAGAACCCATGGCACATATACACAATGGAACGTTACTCAGCCATAAAAAGGAACGAAAGCGTGTCGTTTTCAACAACATGGATGGACCTAGAGGGTATTATGCTAAGTGAAATGAGGCAGACAGAGTAAGGCAAATATGACATGATTTCACTTATAAGTAGACTCTATAAAACAAAACGAATGAACAAACAAAACAGAAACAAACTCATAGGTACAGAGAACGTTTGATGGTTGCCAGATGGGAGGGGCTTTGGGGGAACAGATGGAAAAGGGGGAAGGGATTAAGATATGCAAATTGCCAGTTATAAAATCAGTCATGGGGATGTAAAGTACAGCATGGGGAATATAATCGATAAAACTGTAGTATGGTGTCAGACACATACTAGACTTACCAGGGTGATCACTTCCTAAGTTATATAAATATGTGATCACTATGTTGCGTGCCTGAAACCAATACAATATCATATATCAACCGTGATTGAGCAATTTTTTAAATGCAAAAATAAGTTCCCAAAATATCAAACTTTAAGTAGGAGAACTGGTGTCTGGGGGGGGGTGGTTCCCAGAAAGTCTGTGTGTTTCCTCTTCTCCTGGGGACAGTCACTCTGGTGAATGCTGCAGATCCCTTCAGAGGTGTTGGAGGAGGATTTCTGGGATCAACTTGAGGGAAAACACGGACTCCTCTCTCAAGGGGAACAGGCCTCCTCCTCACTCAGGGGCTTCTGGATCTGTGAACTGATGGAGGTTTGGAAACTGGGGGAGAAGCCACAGCCCTCCACTTGGGCTTGGCTACCAGTCCACGTGGGGATACATCTGTCAGGAGGCACAGGGAGACGGTCATGGAAGGATTGGACGCGGCAGGGTAAACAGGCTTCGGACGGGTAGTTTGAGTAATTTCAGGGGCTCAGGGACTTAGGTGCTTTCCTAGTTGTTTGGTACCTGGACCTGGTAATTAAGGCAGGGGTTAGTGTGACAGATGAACAGAGTAGGTGTTTGGAGTATGGGTTCTGGGTCAGTTGCTTTGCATTTGGAAAACACACTTAAGGTTTCCTGTTTACTACATCTGGGCATCGGCCGTCTCTTCTGGGTCAGCAGGTGGCAGATGGCAAAGCATCAGAACACAAAAGGAATTTAAAAACATGGTTCGGCCCTGGCCGGTTTGGCTCAGCGGTAAAGCGTCGGCCCACGGACCAATGAGTCTGGGGTTCGAGTCCGGTCAAGGGCACATAACTCGGTTGCAGTTCGTCCCCGACCCTGACCGGGTCATGCGGGAGGCAACCAGTTGATATGTCCCTCTCTCGTCGATGTTCTCGCTCTCTCCCTTTTTCTCACTTTCTCTCCTTCCCACTCTATCTGAAGCTAAATAGAAAAATATCCTTGGGTGAGGATTAAAAAACAAAAACCAGCCCTGGCCGGTTTGGCTCAGTGGTTAGAGCATCGGCCTGCGGTACAGAGAGACCCGGGTTCGGTTCCCGCTAAGGGCACGTACCTCGGTTGCAGTTTGTCCCCGGCCCTGGTTGGTCGTGCGGGTGGCAGCCACTCGATGTGTCCCTTCACGTCGATGTTTCTCTCTCTCTCTTCCTCTCTCTCCCTCCCGCTCTATCTGAACAAAAAATAGAAAAATGTCCTCGGGTGAGGATTAAAAGAAAAAAAAAAACAAAAACCAAAAAAACATGGTTCGTACAAGGAGTATTTATGAAGCTGACCCCTCAGCCTGAGAAGTTCGGGCCGATGAACAGAGGCCAGGACGGGAGCGAATGGAGTAGTTGACCTCTCCCTTGGGATTTGTTTTTTCTCACTCAGGCTGAACTTGGCATGGCCAGCCAACCTTCTTATCTCTGATTTTATCATGGAGACAAGAGCACAGGGCATCTTCTATGACTTTTGCAATATTAGGAGACCAGCCAGGGTTTGGGTTTGTGACTCAGAATGTTCCCTGCCACCTTTCTCCTGGGGCAGATGCCAGGGCTCCCTCCTGCAGGGACAGGGCCTCTCCAGGTAGAGATCTGACACTTTACATGGGGATGGTTGGGATTTGCAAAACCCTCTGTCTATAGGGGAGAGACAGGCCCTGGAGCCACGCCGCACATGATGAGGTCGTGGCGGGAGAGAGTTACACAGTCTTCTCCGGGTGCCAGTTTCCCCTTGCTCACTGGCAAATAACAAGAGCGCCAGGATCCCCGTAGCAGACCTGCCTCGCTTCTCGGTGCGTCGTGGGCCTGGGGTCCACGTGGGGCTTCTGGGTGAGCATTTCCTCACTGCCCGTGCCCCTCCTCCCATCAGCCAACCGGTGCAGGGTTGGCTCCGACCCGGCATCTTCCTGCGGACAATAACCTGTGTCAAGCAGTGCTTGCCGATGACTCCATCCTGCTGAGGAGCTGAGAACCTCGGGTCGGAGAAGAGAAAACCAAGGACAGGACAGGGCTCCGAAGTAATCACAGTTCCAGCTAATGTTTGCCAAACACGTCTTAGGCGCCAGGCACTGTGCTGGGGACTTGTTCAAGGAAAGACGATGGCCAGTTGAGTGACCATCGGAGTGAACTCTGAATGTCCCGACTTGTCAGGCAAGAGAGAAGTCAACAGTAAGAAAATTCCTGGGCCCTGGCCGGTGTGGCTCAGCGGTTAGAGTGTGGGCCCACGGACCAGAGTCCCAGGTTCAGTTCCCGCTGAGGGCACATACCACCAAAAAAAAAAAAAAAAGAACTGGGGGTTTTACATGCTGGAAATTGGGAAGGGGTAAGAGGTGGTGATCTGCCTGAATGAGTCTGTATGTTCACACTCAGTGGCTTAAAACACAGTGCTCTTTCCTAAGAGCCTTCCGTGTGTGAGGGGAGGGTGGGTGGCTGTCCATTCTGGATGGTTGGAAGAGCGGTTATGAAACACAGGTCTGGGCTCCCCAGCGCCCAGGTGCGCATTGCCGTCAGTGAACAGTTCGTCTTCCGTGGTGTAGAAAAGAAAAAAATCCTCTTCCTCTACTCCTTAGTTTCTGCCTTGGGGGCCCCGGAGCCTGAACTGACAGACGACAGGAGAAAAGGCATACGCATTGTAGTCGATAATAGTATTTTTACGTGGCACAGGGAGATTCCTAAAAAAGAAGTGAAAACCTTAAAGGAGCAGTTAGGCCTGAGAGCTTATATACCATTTTGACAAAGAACAATGCATTGATAGAGAAGTGACAAGACACAGGAAGAGAGATTTAGGCTTTTAGGGGCAAAAACTGCGGGAAAGTACATTTACGGAGGAAGCCGATGGAAGACAGGATTGTTTAGTGAGGTTTGTATGTAGGTTCCTGTCCGCGTCCTCCTTGGGCAGATGAGAGTCTTGAGAGTCTAGAGTTGTCTCGTTCTGTCCTTCCTGGGAGGGAGACGTCTTTATGAAAGAAAATTCATGCCCCACTTTAAGGCAAATTATCTTTGGCTCCCAGTAATCCTTATGCCAAAGGGGCATATTTTCGGGTGGCACCTTCCAATCCCCTACAATAGTCTTTGCACATTTATTATCATCCCTCTTTGGCAGATGGAGCCACTCGTTGAAAGTCGATAGCTAGTTCGGTGTAGAGCCAGGATTTGACCCAGGAATTCTGGCTGTGTTCATACACCAAGGAACACGATGCCTCTAGGGCAGCACTTCTCAACCTTCCTGATGCCCAACCCTTGGATACAGCTCCTCGTGCTGTCTGTGGGCGCATCTGCGTGTGGGCGGGCCCCCTGGAGACGGACAGAGGAGCCGGGTCTCAGTTCCTATGACCATCCTATGTGTTTTCCGATGGTCTTCGGCAACCCCTGTGAAAGGGTCGTTCGACCCCCAAAGGGGTCGTGACTCACAGGTTGAGAACCGCTGCTCTATGGTAACTGGAAGCAAAGTAGGACCCTTGTCCTCACAGGGGTCCCATGAGATGGGTCCACGTTAAGTCACATCCTGTGTGTTAGGGTCATGACGTAGAGCAGCGGTTCTCAACAGGAGGTGGGTGGGTGTGACTTTGGTCCCCAGAGGACGTTTGGCAATGTCTAGGGACATATTTGCCTGTCACTACAGGGGAGATGCTACTGGCATCTAGGGGGAGAGACCAGGGGTGCTGTTAAACAGCCTGCAATGCCCAGGACAGCCCCTCAAGCAAGAGTTATCCAGCTCCAAATGTCGACCCGAACCCTGATCTGGTCTGTAGGGATAAAGCAAGGAACAAAACAAAAATTCCTGTCTCCACCGAAGTTTCATTCTTCGGACAATGAACAAACAAGTGAAGTATAGATTATCTCAGGTGATAGAAAAGACAGCGACACAAATTGAGTAGGTGTGTGTGGGGGTGGGCATTCTAATGTTAGTGGGGAGTTACGACGTTAAATAAGGTGGCCAGGGATGGCCTCACTCGGAAGGTGACATCTGAGCAGAGAATTGCAGTAGGGGAGGGGTTGCTCTCAGCTGACATCCGGGGGAAGAATGTTGCACAGAGAACCACAAGTGCAAAGGCCCTGGGGCCCGCAGGCAGACTCAGGAACTGCAGTCAAAGGGCAGTGGTTGTGATGTCCATAGTGACTGGCTCAAGGCCACTTCCAGCTGCAGCACCACGAGGTAAGCTGATGTTTCTTGCTGGGTCACTTTCTCTTTCCCATGGGCCTCGGAGAACCATGTTCTCACCTGAGCCTCTGACTCACTGGGGCCGGACTTCTGGGAGATGAGGAGGTGGGGAAGGCAGGTTGTGATATAAGTGATGGCAGTCCACTGGCTCAAAACCGTGTCCTCCGTGGTGTGCGCTGAGCACGGCCTCTCTGTGGCCTCCTCTGCGCAGCGAACAGCAGGATGGTGGTCCTTCTCCTGGTCATTGGGGCGGTCTGGGTGCTCCTCATGGGGGTGGGGCTGTGGGAAGTCTGCCGCTGCCTCCTCACTACAGAGATCCCTGCAGCCATCGAACACCCCGTGAGACTGTGGGTCCTGCACTGCCTCCTCCAGGTGTTGATGGCGTGGGTGAGTTTGTGTTTTATTTGTCCCCTCGTTGTGAGGCTTCAGGAGCGAGTTGGGAAAACACACGGAGCCGAGGCTGACAGTGTGTTCTCAGAGCTGATGCTTCCCACTCCAGTGGTTCTCAACCTCTCCCAGGGTTCCCCAAGCAGAACGGCGGACAGCCACACGACGCAAAGACTGATGCACTTCTCAGAAAAACGGAGGCCTGCTGCACCTTGTCTTACCTTCCTCACAGCATCCGCCTCGCTGTGGAGGTAGCAGGGAGTTGTTCTGAAACTTTGGGGCCTCCTTACTACCTAGCTGCTCGCTACAAGTGGCCAATGACAAAGTAAAGAGACACACTAGCAAAATAGTAAATTAGTATAGATGAACAAAACTGCACAATGTGACTGAATTATACAGATAGATACATGGATAGATACACAGATAGATACACAGATAGATTAGATAGATAGATAGATAGATAGATAGATAGATAGATGATAGATAGATGATAGATAGATGATAGATGATAGATAGATAGATAGATAGATAGATAGATAGATAGATAGATGATAGATAGATGATAGATAGATAGATAGATGATAGATAGATGATAGATAGATGATAGATAGATAGATAGATAGATAGATGATAGATAGATGATAGATAGATAGATAGATGATAGATAGATGATAGATGATAGATAGATAGATAGATAGATAGATAGATAGATAGATAGATGCTTTGGAGAGATGGACGCTTGTTTATGTCATTAATAAGATTCTGCTGTTGTTTTTGGTGTGTGTAAGTCAATGAAATCCCTGTAAATAGATCTTGGCAAGGATCATGTCGAGGTTGGTATAAAAGATTTGCTCTGCTGTTCCAGAGGGCTGGTAGAAACGGCAGATAGAAAACATGTTAGGAAACATGTCTCGTACATGATGACAAGCGATTGCCTGTTCTCATGGGAAACCCTCGATGGAGAAGAACCCAGAAGCCCAGTGTTCCTTCCCACCAGGGTCAGAATGACAGGAGGTGATGATCTGCTCCTGTACTCTTCCTGGCCTTGACTTTCATAGTCTACAGTCTGGGTTCCCAAACACAGCGACTCAGCTTCCTCATCTGCAAAATGGGAAGATAATGGTCCCGACTCCGTAGCATTTTGTGGGGATGCAGTACGTCGTGTGTGCGTTTGAATGCCTGGCACAGAGTAAGCTCTCCCTAAATATGAGCCTTATTACTATTTGTTGGTCTGTTTTTCTGTCTGCAAAGATGTGTTGTACACTACTACATGCCATCCACCAGTTCTAGCCCTGAGGGTCAGTGATGGGCGATGGAGACCAGGTCCCAGATAGAGCCTTCCTGCAGGGTGGGGTGCACTGGGGGAAGGGAGGGAGAGAGGCAGCAACATGCAAGCAAACCGATTCACAGAGGCCATGCTGGGAGGAAAGGAAGGCAGGGCAGTGGGTTAAGGCAGGCTTGTTAAAGGGGTGCCCCAAACCCCCAAGGGTGACAGAAGGCAAGGAGTCCATACCTTTGGATGGGGTAAAAAATCACCCCATTTTCACTGATGTCCAATGAAAACATAGTACTTCCTTCCATTTGAAATGAGGGTGACAAGCCACAGCTGTGACAGCAGCAGCCAACACTGGGTCACCGAGAGGATTTCCCGAGCGTGTGCCTGCGGTGGCAGGTTTCGTGAAAAGCCCGTGTGCGCCTGTCCCTTTGAGAGGAGGACGGTATTAGGCCAGACGCCAGCTCTCACTGTTCCGTGTGCTGGCGGGAAGCCCGTGGAGTGCCGCGTCACACGTGCCCGTTGCGTGTGGATAGGTAGCTCTGCTGAGATGGAACGGCCCCCTGTTCAAAGGCATTCTGCACTGAGGCCCGGGCCTCCCTGGGAGCCCCGAGGGCCGCGGCACAGGACAGGTTAGGGACAGTGCCGTGGGGGTGAGCCCACTTGGTTTACTTTCTTTCTCTATTATGTAAACTTTCAGCCCTGGCCAGTTTGGCTCAGCGGTTGGAGCGTCGGCCTGTGGACCAGAGAGTCCCCGGTTCGGTTCCCGCTAGGGGCACGTACCAAAAAAAAAAAAAATCCTATTATGTAAACTTTCAGACGGTCAGCAATAGTAGGAAGAAGCCCCAGGTCCCCAGGTCCCCAGCCACAGCATTCATGCCTCCAGCCCAATCTAGCTTTCTCGGTGTCCCCAACCTGTCCATCATTCCCATTTGCTTATGAAGCAAATTCTGGATAGCCTTTTTTTTTTTTTTTAATTCTCAGCTGAGGATACTTTTTTCCATTTATCTTCAGATAGAGTGGAAGAGAGGGAAATACAGAGAGAGAGAGAGAGAAAGAGAGAGAGAGAGAGAGAGAGAGAGAGAGAGAGAGAGAAAGAGAGACATCGATGTGAGAGAGACATATTGACTGTTGCCTCCTGCACGACCTAGATCAGGGCTGGGGACTGAACTGAGGTACATGCCCTTGACTGAAATCGAACCTGTTACTCTTTCGTCCGTAGGTGGACGCTCTAACTGCTGAGCCAAACTGTCCAGGGCTGGATAGCCTTTTATTTTATCCAAAATTGATTCCATAAGTAGCTCTAAAAGATAAGAAATTTTTCATCTCTTTTAAAAATCATATGCACAGCCCTGGCCAGTGTGGCTCAGCTGGTCAGGAATCGTCCCTTGCACAGAGAGGTTTCAGGTTCGATTCCTAGTCAGGGCACAGGCTTGAGCACGGGACTCCATCCTCGGTGAGGGGTGTGCAGGAGGCAGCCGATGGACGCTCCACTTTCAAATCGATGTTTCTCTCGTTCTCTCTTTCCTTTTCTCTTCTCTCTCTAACAATCAATAAAAATACTTAAAATAAACCATCAAAAAACACCATAACCACAACTCAGTTATTACATCTTAAAAATAGCAACAAATGCAAGGAGGGCCACATTGGCTAGGATGGTCCAAGAGGGGCTCCCTGGGAGAAACGTCATGTCCAGGCCGAGCTGGGGCAGGACCCTGTGTGTGGGGGGTGCCTTCCGGGCAGAGGAGCCCTCAGGGGTGACCAGAAGTCTGTTTGCAGGGCTGGGGTGTGCGGGGGTCCGGGGAGAGGTTTGGAGGGGCTGGTGCCCGGGCTGGGATGTTCTGCAGGTGCGACGAGGTCCGGCCACTCTGCCAAGGGCACGTGTGGCAGGCAGCAGGACCCGGCAGGGACATGCTGAAACCCTGCTCACTGCATCTCCTCTTCTCTGGCCCACAGGGGAAGATTTTGGAGAAACTGAGAATCTGTTCCATGCCCCAATTTGTCCGTTTTGTACACGACCTGCAACCGCTCAAGACGGACCCGGCTGTGGTGGTCAAGGACCTCCGCTTGGGGACCATCCCGGTGAAGCTATACCAGCCCAAGGCGCCCTCCTGCAGCCCCCGGCCCGGCATCGTGTTCGTCCATGGCGGCGGGACCATCTTCGGCAGCTTGAGTAAGATTCCTTTCCTGTTCCCCAGCCCCGAGTGTTACAGTCTCGGAGCAGCGTGGGGAGGCACCCACCTTCCGGCGTGAAGAGTCGCTTCTGTCGTCTTCCTGGGGTCTAAAGGCCAGTATGACCCGGGAAGCTGGACCAGGGCAGTTAGCAGGTCCAGGTGGTGCGGTGGCTCAGATATGGGACGTATTGGTCTCTTGCTGGAAAGAAGGAGATAGATGGGGCGTATACATGCGCATATGTGTGCATCTATGTATATGCCTATGCAGTTTTCCCCCGCTATGCGAAAGAGGGTGCCCCGTGACACCTTCCCTAAGCCCAGACGGTGTAAAGCGAGGAAGCAATGATCTTCAGACACGTCTTGCTGATGGATGTCTAGGTAAAGCCCAGAGGCTAACAGACTTTGTTCAGAGCTCTGGGGCTGGATGCTGAGGTGCTGTGTTCCCAGGGGCGCTTGGCAGGGCCACTGTCCCTACCGGGGTGGGGTGCTGCCTCCAGGAGGGCTCCCTCAAACACATGCTGACTGATATTTTTTTGCTTTTCCCTTTTTTTTGGTTAACTGAGAACCCTCTTCAGTAACTTTGAATTTTTTTTTTAATCCTCACCCGAGGACACTTTTTTCATTTTTTGTTCAGGTAGAGTGGGAGGGAGAGAGAGAGGAAGAGAGAGAGAGAGAGAGAAACATCGACGTGAAAGGGACACATCGAGTGGCTGCCACCCGCACAACCCAACCAGGGGCGGGGACAAACTGCAACCAAGGTACGTGCCCTTAGCGGGAACCGAACCCGGGTCTCTCTGGCCCGCAGGCTGATGCTCTAACCGCTGAGCCAAACCGGCCAGGGCGAGAACCCTCTTCAAACGTCCTATGGTCAGCCCCAAACAGGTACTAATGTAGGCATTTCATAATAGCAAAGTTTCGAAAAGTGGGGGAGAGATGTCTATACATGTGAAATTCACATGACATAAAACTCAGCACTTGAAAGTGTACAGTTCAGTGGCATTTCATACAGTCACAATACTGTGCAACCACCCGCTCTACTTGGTTGGAAATAATGATGAAGAAAAATAAAATAACTAAAACACATTATTTTGTTTTATATCGGGCTAGTACTTGAGATAAATTTTGGTATCAACAGACGAGAGGACCAAAAATGTGAGAAAAATGAATGAGAGACAAAACTCACAATTGAGATAATATTATTATCTAACCCCTTCCCCACTGTAGGAATCGGGGGAAAAAATACTTTATAGTTCTTTCCAGTCTGTGGAATGCCAGGGGCTACTGCTGTAGACTTTGAGACAGGGATTTAATGCAACCATTTATTTTTATCTTTACCTGAGGATATTTGTCATTGACTTGAGAGATAGAGGAAGCAGGGGGAGGGGGGAAACATCAATGTGAGAGAGAAATATTGATTGGTTGCTTCCCACACATGCCCTGACTGGGGATCGAACCCTCAACCCTTTGATGCATGAGATGATGCTCCAACCAACTGAGCCACACCAGCCAGGGCAACAGCGAATTTTTACTAATTCATATTTATGAGTATTATTAGTATTTCCATGGCAGGCACTGTGGAAATCCTTTCTGTGCATTATCTCCTTGGAATCCCTCACACTCTATAATGATCATTATCCCCATTTTACAGATGAGCAAACCAAGCCTCAGGGAGAGAAGGGACGTGCCTCACACTGCTTCAGCTCAGGTGGCAAGGAGGCAACGTGAGACCCGAGCTTGGGTCTGGATCCGGAGTTCACACACTGAGTCACTGCCCTGTGTAGCCAAACAGCTTCTCAGATATTGTGAACGGAGAGTCACACCCAAGGGCTCTGTCCGGGATGGTGGCCAGTGAGAAGGGGCAGCTGAGAATGGGCAAAAGAAGTCCACTAGCCTTCCTCGTGAATTTTAAAACCTTTTATTTTCTAGAATTCTACCATAGAACATGCTGTCGTTTGTCCAAGGAGAGCGACTCCGTGGTTCTGGCAGTTGGGTGAGTAGGGGGGGCTGGGGAGAGGCAGGGAAAACAGGCTGTGACCCAGAGTGATGGGGTGGGGGGTAGGAACTCAGGCAGGCAGGGAGTTGGGGGACACCAGGAGCAAGGAGGAGAGGAAGGGAGAGGGAGAGACAGAGGCAGAGAACCGGCACGCCTTCCTGCCGACCGCCTGTGGGTACGTTTCCATGGGGTGATCTGTGCGTGGCATCATTTGGAGCCGGGGTGGGGAGGGGGCTCACTTAAGCAGGTCAGCTGCTGAGCTCCACAGCAGAGCATGTCTGGGCGGACTACTCTCGTTGAGCAGAACAGCCCTGCACATGCTGGACGCTGAGCTCCTCCCTCCACTGAGTGCCCACCGCGCTCTGTGCCATCACCAGGACAACCGCAAACACGGTCACAGCATTGCCAAGTGCTCTCTGGAGGGAGGTCCACCCTGGGGAGATCCACTGGAGGAAGGGAGAAAGATTCAAAAGCCACCCTCTCTCCTAACTGATCTTGGAGAGTCACTCACCAGCCCTGGAAAGGTGAAGAGGGCTTGGTGGACATGGGGCAGGAGAGACCTGGGCGGCCCCTTCCTGGGCCTCCACGCCAGGCAAACTGGACATATATGAGGAGTGGTCACTGTCGTGGTGTGGCCTTGTCCTCCTGCCTGACGCATCCTCAGACTGGGCAGGGCGGTTCTGGTTTCCTGCAGTTCTGTTTAAATGCGCCTGCCACGAAGGGTCAATTGCCAGTATCTTGGGGCTACATTTCCCAACTGTCTTGTGGCACAGCTAGTTGAGTAGAGTAAAAAATACAGATGTCAGGCCCGGTCAGTGTGACTCAGTGGACTGAGCATCATCCCATGGACTGAGAGGTCCCAGTTCGATTCCTGGTCAGCGCACATGCCTGGGTTTCGGGCTCCGTCCCCAGTAGGGGGCGTGCAGGAGGCAGCTGATCAATGTTTCTCTCTCACATCCATGTTTCTCTCTCTCTCTCCCTTCCTCTCTCTAAAAAATCAATAAAAACATATTACATTTTTTCTAAAAAAAGAAAAATACAGGTTTCAGTCCTGGATGAGGGAGAGAGACCTGGAGAAGCACCTTGCTCTACAATTCCTGGCTCCAAAAACATTTCTGCAAGGGGACGGAAATCTTGATCCAGTTGTTGGCGGTATATGCCTTGCAGTTCTGGTTGTGCTGAGCCACGAGATCAGCAGTAGAATATATGAGCAAATGCCTGCAAGAAAGTTATTTCGTGGACAGAGTGTAGGAGTTGAAGCTTTGCCGCCAGGTAGCTAAGACCAGGGAACATCAGAATGACCATGGCCGGCAGAAGCTTTGCTGATCCATAAAGCATGTCCTAACTTAGAGGCCAGCGTTTAGAATGGTGAGATTTCTCCGCAAACCCAGATTTCTGAAATCTCTTGAAAAATGCCGGGCTGGCGAACCTGTGTCACAGGGGTCGAGTTCGGTGGCTGATTTGGAGGTGGCCTATAGGTCATCGGCTGGCCCTTGGTAGTATTTAAGTCTCCAAGAGGAGAGGTCACAAACACCTGTGAGCCTGGCAGCGTTATGTAGAAGTTAAACCCAGGTCAGCCTGGGTTTGCTCGTAAAAGAATAAAGTAGGGAGCCCTGGCTGATTAGAGCATCGGCCCGCGGACCAGAGAGAACCGGGTTCGGTTCCCGCTATGGGCACCTACCTCGGTTGTGGTTTGTCCCTGGCCCCGGTTGGGGTCGTGTGGGTGGCAACCACTTGATGTGTCTCTCTCACATCGATGTTTCTCTCTCTCTCTTCCTCCCTCGCTCCCTCCCGTTCTACCTGAAGATAAATGCAAAAATGTCCTCGGGAGAGGATAAAAATAATAATAATAAAAAAGTAGGGAACAGGGGTGAGTCGGGGCAGCGCTCTCAGGGAGGGGGCTCCTGTGGGTGATAGCTAAGCTGTTGACCACTAGGTGGCTGACAGGATTCTTGTGGTCACAACCTGTTCCCAAAATGACAGTAGACGGTGGGAGTAGCAGTGACCACTTACTGAGCCCCTGTGCTGGGCACAGAGGACTTCATGTCTGTCAGCCCCACATTTAACTTGACTTGCTCAGGTTTCAGAAAGAGAAGTTGATGGGAGACATCTGGGCTCAAGCAGGCCAGGCACAGGTGTTGGGGCTCCGCTAGGGTTACAAGAGTAAACCATGTTCCTCGATTCCTTTTCAGATACCGCCAGCCGCCCGAGCACAGGTATCCGATGATAATAGTCGACTGCTTTGCGGCCACCATCTGCTTCCTGAGGTCCCTAGACAGGTACGGGGTGGATCCAGCCCGCGTTGTGATCTGTGGTGACAGCGTGGGTGGGGCAGTGGCCACGCTCATTTGTCAAAAGCTTGTGAAGAGTTCAGATCTCCCCAAGATTCGTGCTCAGATCCTGGTCTACGCTCCTGTCCAACTCCTGGACTTCCAGCTGCCTTCCTACCAGCAGAACAGAAATGTCCCATTGATCAATTTGGATTTTGTCTACCAATGTTTTGTTTATTACCTGGACATAAGCCCCACCTGGAAAAATGCTTGCCTGAAAGGTGCCCACGTACCTGCCGAAGTCTGGGCGAAGTATAGAAAGTGGGTGAGCTCCGAAAACATCCCGGAGAGGTTTAAGAAGAGAGGCTACAAGCCGCTGCCCCCTATGCCCCTGAATGAGAGTGCTTACCTGGAGACAAACTTGCTTCTGGATTTGATCAACGAGCCCCTGCTTGCAGAAGACGAAGTCGTGTCTCGGCTCCCGGAAACCTGCATTATTAGCTGTGAGTATGATGTTCTCCGGGACAATTCGCTCTTGTACAAGAAGAGACTGGAGGACCTCGGGGTCCCGGTGACTTGGCACCACATGGAGGATGGTTTTCACGGAGTGCTTAGCACCATTGACATGGGATTCTTATCTTTTCCCTGCTCCACGAGGATTATGAACAACATGGCCCAATTTATAAAGGGCTTGTAGCCGTCTCTTCTTCCCGCTGGAGCTGCGAGAGTCTGGGCCCGCCATCCCCCGGTTCCCCATGGGGCTCTCCGAAGTCGATGTAGGTGATGCTGAGGGGGTTAGGGAGGGTATTGGGACTGCCAGCTCCTTCCTGCTCCAGGTTCTAGAATCAGAGAATGTATGTTTCTGATGCCTGCAGGGGGAGCAGTAGATGAAACAGTTTTAGGGGGGCATGGGGGGTTCTCTGTGTGCACCGTTGGGAAAATTTGAGCTGGCCAATTTGCGAGAGTTCATAGCATGTGAGGGTCGCCCGTGGCCTCCCTGAGGGGCAGTTCAGACTGCCCCAGAGGGGCAGGGCTCTGACCTTCTAGACTGCCAGGTGGAGGTGGTTCCTGGTTCCACTCTCCTCCTCTGGGAATAGGGGGCACTTTTCCTGCTGTTTCCCTGTCTCTGAGTTCAGAGCCTCGCCGGCCTCGGGTGGAAGTTAGGACAGAGTGGGTGGGTTTTGCATGCTGGTTGGCAGCTAACAACGGGTGAGGACAGCCCAGAGCCACCGACTGGAGGCGCTCCGGAGCTCCGGGCATCCAAGTGGCAGAAGAGAGCCGTTGGAAAGGGCTCTGTCCTGAGGCAGAGACCCAGGAAGACTAAGTCTGACCAAACTCAATCATATCTACAAGGAGAACTTGAGGGAGAGCCCAGTGGACTGAAGATGTGTGGCAAGGACAGTTGCTGGCGTCAGACACAGGACCAACGGAAACCGACCTAAGTCAGAGGGAGAGAGCATCGGCCAATGGGATACACCAGGACTGGTTTGATGCCGGAACTCAAACCATGCCACCAGCACGTCCATCCTCCCAGGATCATTACCACGGATTTGCCTCATTCTCGGCAGTCCCGGCAAAAATCACATTGTAACTCGATGGCTCTATGGGCTTTCTGAATGTTGTGTCCCGTTGCCACAGCCGAGGGAGTGGAGTGTTCTGACCGACCAGATACAAGCCCATGCTGGGGGTGGAGGGTGGGGTCAACGCCACCTGGCGCTTGGACTGAGCATGAGGGAGGGAGGGAGGGAGGGAGGGACCACTTCCCTCACATCAACACTTACTGCACTGGGTGGACGTCCACACTCCCTCTACGGCAGAAGCTAAATTGAATCCTGAGTCAAGGTACATGGAAGCGTCAAGAAATGACAGGGACCGCTGGGCAAGTTGACCACCTGCCCTTAGGAATACAAATTCCTGTAAAAAGATGACCCAGGCTCCCACGCTGCCCCTACCTGGTCTTCGGAGGCTGGTCCTGGTTGGCCAGTGGCTTTTATAGACCAAGATCCAAGTGTACGGCACGAAGACCCAGTGCATGGCTCTCACCGGCCTTCGGTTGAGTGTCTGTGCTGAAACGTGAAGCAGAGAAGAATCCACCGGGTGGCGTCTCGTCCCACTCACAGCAGGCAGACCCGTGGGAGGCTTTGTCGGAGAACTAGGAGGAGCACTGTCTCCCCACTCAGCTACTGGGGAGCACTGGGATCCGAGAAGCACGTCCCTTTTGAGATTGACCTCTGAGCTGAGTCAGGTTGGTTTCCCCCTGGAAGGTGGTCTTCGTGGTTTCTCACCTGCTTCTGGAGACATGAACTGACCTGGAACGTTGGGTGGTGGCCTCTTGCACTGCAGAGTAGCCAAGGAGGAGGTGGGCCACTGGAGGGCGGTGCCCAGGGGCGATGAGTGGGGTACACCGCAGGGACTGGAAGCACCCCAGGTAGACTCGTCTCTGAGGCTGCTTCCGTCTGCACATCGTGGGGGAAATAGATGACGTTCAGCCCCAGGGGCTGGTTGGGTTGTCTTGGGGACCAAATGTTTCACTCTTCTGCTTGACCATGTTCTTGCCATCCTTCCTGGAGGCCGTTGGTGAGGCTGGGGAATGGAAATGGGATGAATGTTTACCAAGAACCAACTCCATGCTAGGCCCTGTACCGGGCTGTTCTAAGGTGCCATCTATCTCACTGTGATGAGAGAACACTATTTTGGGTCGCTGCCCAGGCATTTTAGAATGTGACAACCCTGCGCTCGCCCAGTCTGGACATTTAGATAAGGACCTGAGCCGAGGATTCCAGCCATAGGTTCCGGCTTAGTTTTTCCCGGGGCAGCTTTTAAAGTGACCCCTCAGAGTCCGCGCCAGTCCCCCTATTCTCTGTCTCGCTCACGCCCCGGGATGGAGAACCGGCTCTCTGCTGGCTCCTTGCTCCTCCTTCTCTTGTTTCTGGGATCTGGAAGTAATAAATCTGTGACTGCACTTCCTTGGTGTGAGTGTGTGGAAACTGCACCCCAGTCAAAATGACCCTGGGATTGTCACTTCCTCCAAGTGGGAACTTGGACGCTGAGAGAGCTACTGGCTGACCTCGTGTGGTGGACTCATGCCTCCTCGGGCCACAGGTCACAATCCTCATATCCTTAATCCAACACACCAACTACGGGTGCTCCAGCACGCTCATGAGGTCCTCACTGGAATTCCACCAAGTGGGCATTCGTAAGCCCATTTTACAGATGGGGAAACCGAGGCCCAGAGACATTAACAACAATACTCATTTTGTGTCTCTTTCTAGCGAGGCTCAAAGCCAGCTGACTAACTAGTTTGTCCAATGCCACGGGGTTGGCCAGGTGCTGTACACTGCTAACTTTCGATTACTCTCTTGAAACTCTCTTCCCTTTTATCTGGATGTATTCACTGGTCCTTTTTTGGGGGGCGGGGGTGGAGGACTACAGTCTTCCATACTTCAAAGCCCATTCCTATGCTTTTATATACACAGACATGTACCCATAGAAAACATAGAGTATTATTTTGTGGGATGATGTTGCTGCAAAAGACGAATAATTCTGCACCTGTTATGCCCCTTGGTTTTTTTTTTTTCGCTCAATTGTATCTAGCCTAGTAAACAATACAGATTTATCTTCCTCTTTCTTTTTAGTGACTTCATAGTATTCCTTGGTCTACATTACAGTTCTCAGCCATTCCCCTGTGGTGGGCATATTCGGTCTCTTTCCAGTTTGTCACGGACAGACAGGTCCATAGTGAGCATTTCTGCACACACCCCCTTCTGTGAGGCTCTGTGAGAGATTTAAGAAGGGGGATGGTTGACTGGGCACATTTTAAATGTTGGTGGCCTCTCCCCAAATGCCTGTCCCATTTCCTTTTCCCCAGCAGGTCTCGCCTGGGAGAGAAGTTGTCGGGTTATAACCACCAATCCCCAAAGCAGAAAGAAAATCGATTGACCTGACAAATGACAGGGTGGGACCGAGTTGGCATGTCTGTATTTTATTTTATTTTTATTATTATTTTTAAAAATATTTTTTTCTTTATTGATTTCAGAGAAAGAGGAAGGGAGAGGGAGAGAGATAGAAACATCGATGAGAGAGAACATCGATTGGCCGCCTCCTGCATGCCCCCCACTGGGGTTTGGGCCCACAACCTGGGCATGTGCCCTGACCGGGAATCGAACTGGTGACCTCTTGGTGCATGGGTTGACGCTCAACCACTGAGCCACACTGGATGGCGCATGTCTGTATTTTATTTTATTTTATTTATTTATTTTTATCCTCACCCGAGGACATTTTTCCATTTTTTGTTCAGGTAGAGTGGGGGGGAGAGAGAGGAACAGAGAGAGAGAGAGAAACATCGATGTGAAAGGGACACATCGAATGGCTGCCACCCGCACAACCAACCAGGGCCGGGGACAAACTGCAACCGAGGTATGCGCCCCTAGCGGGAACCGAACCCGGGTCTCTCAGGACCGCAGGCTGACACTCTAACCGCTGAGCCAAACCGGCCAGGGCGCATGTCTGTATTTGAGAAGGAAATTTCCTTAGTTCAAATGAAACTCTACAGGGATCAGTGGAGGAGTCTGGGCAGGCTGCAACCTTACTGGGTTGCTGCCTCCAGCATCCTTGCCTCCATTTAACAAAGTTGGCTCCTCCTTCCCCAGGGTGGCCAGGGCCTGCTCTGTTTCCTGGCCAAAACACCGCTGTCTCAGCCTTGCAGCTGAGCGTCTTGCAAACTGGTAGGACAAGGTTGAATCAGATAAGGCAGTGCCCAGGGTTCAGTGTCAAAGTATTTCTGGTCATAGGCAAAACCCTCAAGGGTCCATCTCCGTTACTGCGAAACAACTCCCTGTCTATTTTGTCACAAAAGGACAGATCAGTTTTACGTTGAAAAAGACACATTCTGGGTTTGCTGCTGCTGCATCACAAGTTCTCCCAGGAGGCAGAGGGATGAAGGACCTGTGGTCTAGGGTCAATCAGAGGCCCGACATTGACCTCATCTGCAGACCCTCAGTTTTCTTGCCTTGAAATGAGAGTAACCATATCGAGTAAATGGGTGTGTTTTATTAAATCGTCATTCTTGAGCATCTGGTGAGGATAACAAATTGCTTTTGTATTCGGGAATCCAAAAAGAAGCTAGAATTATCCCTTTAGGATATCGCGGCCCTTTGTCCCCAAGATACTCCTCGAATACAAAGAAATGGATAACATAAACTTGGTTCAGGCATGTGGGGAGGAGAGGATAGAATATTTATTGACCCCATATCTGTGACCGGCGTGTCCCAAGGGGCTTACTAGATGACATCTCACCGAATCCTCATAATCTGATGGAGCACGTAAGCAATACTTGATCTCAATTTGCAGATTAGGAAACCACGGTGCCCTTGGCCGAGGAACTAGGTGAGAGTCGCAACTGGAAGTTGAAGCCAAGTAGGTCTGAGTTCCAAGTCCCCTGCCTGTCACCACTCGGTTCCTGGTGCAATACCCCCGAGAAGTGTTTCTAGGCCACGAGGGACCACAGGGAAGACGTCGATTCCTCCTTCATCTCTCAGGTCCCTTTCGAAGCACTACCTTGCTCTGGAAAGTCTCCCGACCCCACAGAGCCTCTGACCCTCCTGAGACAGGCCGGTGAGTCAGCACAGGTGGAATAGGGAAACTGAGGCCAGAGTTTAACAGCAGTTTGCAGCCATCTGGGAAATCCTGTCTTTCCTAAAGCAGGGACGCTTAAGAGTAAATGGTTTACACTTCTCCTCCCCAACCGGAGGGCAAATAGCTTAAATCACCCTCCTCAGGAAGACAGACAGCAGAATCCAATCAGTGCCATTTGCCAACCACACACAAGCACAGGTGAAATTAAGAGAACACACCTGACTTTGGTGCATCAGCATAAAGCTGATAAATATTCTATTGAGATCCTCCCCTAAGACCTCTTCTAAATGCCCAGCCTTTAAAACCCCTCAAAACAAAGGTTCAGCACATACTCTATTTCCCAGGAGCATGCCCGCACCTCCCAGGCACACCCCTTGGCTTTCTTCCCCCCCAGACATGCATCCCCTAGACTCTAAGGGGCCCCAAAAGGCTTGCAACCAGGGCAGCAATGGGCAGCGACAGTTCATCCCAGACAAGCCCTCTGAACCTGTCCCCAAAGCCCCCTTTTCTCTGACCGCGTCGTGAGCCAAAGCAGACCAGCCTGGGCTCCTTTCCCCGGCCCTTCCTTGTGTCACTGTCCCCAGCTTCAAAGAATGTCCTCGAAAACTCACCTGGACCACACGCTACCCGCTGGCCCTGGCGGACCCGCCAAGGGCCAGGTCCCCTTTCTGGTGACACTGCGTTTTCAGAGGATGCTGTGGCTTTTCCAGCACCGCACTGAGCACACAGAAGTGTCGTGACCACAAATGTTTACCCCTAGGTTGGGCTCAAGCGATCCTCAATTTCTAGTGTCCACAGGTGACTGGCAAAGCAAATGGCAGTCGTCTCTGCAGGAAGAGAACGTCACCCAGGCCGCCCGTTATCTCTGCAAACACTCTTTCAGACACCGGGCATGTGAGAAGGGGTAAGCCAGCCATGAAAACCCACAGACATAACAGTTAAAAAAAAGAAAGAACGTCGCCACAGACTGTAAAATAGCTCTGTTCACGGTGTCCACGGAGGTAGAAATCTATAGAAATATAGTTCTAAATATCATCTATAAACCTGTAGGTGTACAAGTCCACCAAGCTGAACATTTGGAAGGCAAAACGTGGCAGGCAATCTTCAAATTCAGAAGGTAGGAAAAATTAAACATTTGGAACTAAGAAAAGTTCTCACATACCCAGTATCTGAATGTATATCATATTATGTAGAAATCAGACAGACGTTTCAGAACTGAAAAATGCAACAAATCAAAACATTCAACGGTGGGTTAATTTCACATTAGACGCACTTGAGAGAGAATGTGGGAACTGGAACACAGGTCAGAAGGAACGATTCAGAATGAAGCGCAGAGACTAAAGGATGGAAAATACGGAAGAGCGAGGCAAGAGGCATGAGGGTTCATTGAGAAGCCATAGCAAATATGTGACTGTTGTCCCAGAACGCAGGAAGGAGGCAGAGAGCAATCTTTGAAACACGATGGAGTACTTCCCGGGGATCCCCAAACATCCTTCAGGGAAACTGCAAGGTCAAACTACTTTCTTAATAACAGTAAGATCTTTTCTTTCTTTGTCTCTCTCTCTCTCTCTTGTTTATCCTCACCTGAGGACATTTTTCCATTTTTTGTTTAGACAGAGTGGGAGGGAGAGAGAGGAGGAGGAGAGAGAGAGAAACATCGACGTGAAAGGGACACATCGAGTGGCTGCCACCCGCACGACCAACCAGGGCTGGGGACAAACTGCAACCGAGGTACATGCCCTTAGCGGGAACCGAACCCGGGCCTCTCTGGACCGCAAGTCGACGCTCTAACCGCTGAGCCAAACCGGCCAGGGCTATTTGTCTCTTTTTAAAGTCGGTTTGTTTTTTTATTACTCAAGAGGTAATGCCACTTGATGAGTTTTGGTATGTAGTATCAAAGAATATGCACAATTAACTGCAAACGCTCTTAAAATACTTCTCTCTCGTCTAACTACATACCTATGGAAGACTGACATTTCAATTTTAAACAAAACAACAGATTTCAGACGGAATGTTCTTTTGAAATTAAGAAATAATAAATATATTAACATTCATAAAAACCCTTTGAGTCCTCAATAATTTCTAAGAGACTTACTTCCTCCCTTAAGCCCTCCTTGCTTTAGTGTCTTCATCTATAAAATGGGTACAGAAATAGCAGCTGCTTCCTAGGGCTGCTGTCAGGATTAACGAGTGAAGACTTGTCATGGTCTCAGCGTGGGTCTAGCACATCGACGCTCATTAAGAGGTAGAAGGTGATCAGCTCACTTGAGTTGCGAAAATGCAGCAAGGGTGATGTCACTTATGGGGGTGGCCACACTGAAACCAGGTCCTTCCAGCCCTCGCTTGGTCATTGTTGCTTTGATTGGCTTTCGTGAGGTCAATTTTGCTCTTGAAGAATCAGCTGCCCCCTTAAGGAGAGTATTTATACTCAGAGTCTATCACCATGGAGACAGTCAACAGCAGGGAATCCAAGATCACATCACCTCTCCCTGGAGGCTGGAAATGGACCCTTGAGGCCCTTCTATTCCGTGAAGTTGGCAGGGTGTCATCTGCTATCCGCTCAGACGGGTGTCTGGGAAGGAAACAAGGCACCCCAAACTCAGCATCTTCATAACATCTCCCTACCCCTGAAGCCTTAAGCTGTGCCGAGTCAAAGACCCCTGGAGTGAATCCTTATCATGCAGGTTTTGACTGTCGTGAATCCACAGCCATTATCTACTCCAAGCTGGAAGATTGAGAGCAACTACTCAACCAGAGTGCTCACTGGGAACTGGGCGGAGGAGAGGAGGAAGGTAAGGAAGGAGAGAAGGTGGACAGAGGGATCAGAGGGAGGACAGACAATGAGAGGTAGGAGTGAAGTCATCAGTATCTTAAAATCAGGGGCCATGGAGCTTGCATCTGAAGAATATGGCATTAGGGAGTCTGAGGGCTACATCAGGGAGTTACATTCAAGCAGTCATCAAGGTCCCCACTCTCTTGACAATATCACAGCAGATGTGTCAGTATGGTTGTGCCTCGAGTACTATTTCCAGCAGAGTCTTTCTAGGCATCTGGTGTCACCTGGCCCTTGATTTGAAGAATCTCTGCTCTCCCCGGCCCTGCCCTTACCAGACAGTGGTACTGGCCAAGGCAGGCTTGGCACCCCATGCAGCGAGGTCCAGGATGAGCCCAGCTCCAGGCCCCTTTCCACAGCCGTGCCCTGCCTGTGCATTTCAGTCTTTGCTCTCAAAACAGAACAAATGGGCTCATGGTGTTTCCATGTACTTTAAAGACCATTACAAAATATAGAATTTTGCCTGAAATCGAGTGTCTTCATTTTTGGCAATCAAGACTAAACCACTTACATTTCTGCAGAGACATCTAAATAGCCTTAGGTCGTCTTGGGAAATGGACAAAGGAAAGAGGGTGATAGAATTGGCAGCTTTGGTGTAAGCGTGGGGAAGATTGGGGGGGACTTCCGAGAGCTGGAAAAGGCTGATTTTATGGGGAATACTAGCATTCGCCACCCCTCTGGCCAGACATGGCCTGTGTCCATTCTTAGATCTGAGTGTATTTGGTCTCGCTTGAGAAGCAGATATGTGTCAGGGAAGTTCCAAGGGCGAGACAGACTGCCTGAGCAATCCCTCCGGGCTCCGGTGAGCAAGGCACTACCCAGGGGGATTGTGAGCTGACCCTACACCTACAGGAGATTGCATAGAGAGCAGAGTTGGAGTGATGTCTGTAAGACACATAGCAGGTTAAGAAATTCCAGGTCCTGTTCTACCATGGAAACACTTAAAAAATGACTACTGCCTAGCTAAAATAACTGTATAGGGGCTCTGGAAAGCAGTCAAAGCTCTATAGCAACAATCAAATCAGTTTAGAAAGAGCCACATTCAAAACGGTAGGCAATTCCATGGTATGTTTACTTGCCCTCTCCCCATTCCCTCTTCATCACATGGTGCCGTGTGGGGGACGCAGTGGCCAGCTCCCAGGTCCCTCCCTTGAACCCAGAGGGAGGAGAGCACATTCTAGCCTGTCTGGGAGTTGCCTGACAGATCGGTCTCTGTTTTGCCTAACTCAGAACTCAGGCAGGGAAAAGTGGCAAAGTTCATACGTCAGGCTAGGAAAACTTGTGAAAAGCAGCGGTAGTCACAGCTGGTGAAAGTTGCCAGGGGACCACGGACCTGTAAATACCTAGGGCAAGAGATTGCAGGGAGAGAAATACAACAGAACATCTAAGGCCCTGAGAAAAAGCAAGGAAGAGACTCTTTGGGAAATTAAGGCATTTTACAGAAGCCATGTGTACTGGGGAGACACACACACACATAGAGGCCCAGGAAAGAAACGAGCTCAGAAAAGTCCTGAGAAGTACTTAAACCTTCACACCAAGCTGATTCCAAGGCTCAGATCCTGCCCTGTTAGTTAGTGGAGATCTTCTCCTGAATGGAGCCAGTATGCAAAGACTCAGAGAGGTGGCTGTTTTTTCAAATGCCCAGTGTTCAGCAAAGTACCTTAAGGTATACGAAGACACAGGAAAACATGGCCCACTCAAAGGAAAGCAATTAAGTAGCTGAAACTGTCCCTGAAGAAACACAGGCATCAAAAGTATATGACAGCCCTGGCCAGTTTGGCTCAGCAGTTTGAGTATCGGCCCGTGGACCAATGAGTTGCAGATCTGATTCCAGTCAAGGGCACGTACCTTGGTTGCGGTTCATCCCAACCCTGGTCCGGGTCATACAGGAGGCAACCAGTCGATGTGGCTCTATCACATCGATGTTTCTCTCTGTCTCTCTCTCTCTCCCTCCCTCCCACTCTATCTGATAATAAGTAGAAAAATATCCTCAGGTGAGGAATAAAAAAATAAAAATATATAACAAAAACTTTAAAACAACTGTCTTACCTATACTTAAGGAGCTGCAGGAATACATGGACAAAGAACTACAATTGACTCTTGAATAATGTGAGGGTTAGGAGCCCTGACCACCCCATCTCATACAGTCAAAAACCCATGTCTAACTTTAGACTCCCCCAGAACTTAATTATTAATAGCTTACTGTAGACCAGAAACCTTCCTGATCATATAAACTATCTTTTAACACAGTTATATGTAGTATTCTTATCATAAAACAAGTTAAAGAAAAGAAAATGTCACTAAGAAAATCATAAGGAAAATACATTTACAGTACTTATTGAAAAAATCCAATATAAGTACACCAACACAGTTCAAACTCATGTTTTTCAAGGGTCAACTGTAAAGGAAATCAGATAAATGATGTATGAACAAAATGAGAATATCAATAAGAAGATGGAGATTATAAAAAGGAATCAGCCAGGAATTAGGGAGCTGAAAAATACAATAACTAATTTGAGAAAATTCACTAGAGACATCCAACAGTGGACTTAAACAAGCAGAAGAAAGAAACAGAGAACTTGAAAGCATATCATTTGACAATTTTGAGCCTGAAGAGTAAAAAGAATGAAGAAAAGTAAGTAGAACCTAAGGACTTCTAGGACACCATCAAGCCAATCAATACACACATTATAAAAGAAAAGAGAGAGTGAGAGGGGCAGAGAGATTATTTGAAGAAATAATGGCTGAAGAAATTTGAAGAAAACATATGGATCTACAAATCTACGTAGCTCAGTAAACTCTAAGTAGAATACATCCTATGAGAGACACATTATAATCAACTGTTGAAAGTCAAAGACATAAAGAATCTGGAAAGCAGCAAGGGAAAAAGGACTCATCATGTACAAAGGAGCCTTTATAAGAATATTAGTAGATTTCTCAGCAGAAACCTTGCATGCCAGAAGGCAGTAGGGCGATAAACTTAAAGTGCTTAGAAACAAAACAAACCTATCAACCGAGAATACTATAGCCAGCAATATTGTCCTTGAAAAACAAAGGACAGCCCTGGCCATTTTGTCTCAGCAGTTGGAGTGTTGACCCTTGGACCAATGAGTTGCCAGTTCGATTCTGATCAAGGGAATGTACCCTGGTTGGGGTCATGTGGGAGGTAACCAGTCAATATGTCTCTCTTATGTCAATGTTTCTCTGTCTTTCTCCCGCCTACTATATCTGAAGATAAGTAGAGAAATACCCTTGGGTGAGGATTTTTTAAAAATCCCTGCGAGTGTGGCTCAGTGGTTGAGCATCGACACATACACCAAGAGGTCGCTGGTTCAATTCCTAGTCATGTGGTGGCCAATCAATGTTCTCTTTCATCGATATTCCTATTCCTATTGCTCTCTCCCTCTCTCTTTCTGTCTCTAAAATCAATAAAGAAAAATTATTAAAAAAAAAAAAGAACAGTTCAGTTGGTGTGGCTCAAGGGTTTGAGCAACTCATGGAATGGAAGAAAATATTTTCAAATCTTCAATGTGATAAAGAAATAACATCCAGAGTGTATAAAGAACTCTTACAACTCATAATATTCGCATCATAGGAGTCCCCAAAGAAGAGAAGATCTTCTGAGGACTTCAAAGGAGAAATCGACAGCAATACAATCATAGCAGGGGACTTCAACACCCTGCTGACATCACTGGATAGAGCCTCTAGACAAAAAATTAGCAAGGAAACAGAGACTCTAAATGAAGCACTAGACCAAATGGATTCAATAGATATCTACAGAGAATTACACGCCAAAACTACAGAATTCACATTCTTCTCAAGTGCACTTGGGACATTCTTAAAGATAGACCACATGATAGCACACAAACTAAATCTCTACAAGTTCAAGAAGATTGAAATCATATCAAGCATCTTCTCAGATCACAATAGCATGAAACTAAAATCAATTGCAACAAAAACATGCAAAGACATTTGAACACATGGAGGCTAAATAGCGTGTTATTAAACAATGAATGGGTCACCGAGGAGATCAAGAAAGAAATTAAAAACTTCCTGGAAACCAATGAAAATGAACACACAACAGCACAAAATCTATGGGATGCAGTGAAAGCAGTTCTGAGAGGGAGTTCATAGCACTACAGGCCTACTTCAAGAAACAAGAAAAATTTCTAATAGACTAACCCCACAACTTAAATAATTAGAAAGCAAACAAAAAGAAAATCCCAGAGCAAATAGAAGGAAGGAAATAGTAAAGATCAGAGCAGAAATAAATGACATAAAGACCAAAAAAACAATTCAAAGGATCAATGAAACAAAGAGCTGGTTTTTCGAAAAGATAAACAAGATTGATGGACCCTTAGCTAGACTCACCAAGAAACAAAAAGAAAGAACCCAAATACACAAAATCAGAAATGAAAGAGGAGAAGTAACAACTGACCTGCAGAAATACAAAAGATTGTTAACAACTACTGTGAACAATTATATGGCAACAAATTCGATAATCTAAGTGAAATGGACAAATTTCTAGAAATGTATAGTCTCCCAAAACTAAACCAGGAAGAGATAGAAAACTTGAACAGACCAATAACAACTAAGGAAATTGAAGAGGTAATCAAGACTCTCCCAGCAAACAAAAGCCCAGGCCCGGATGGCTTCATGGGGAAGTTTTACCAAACATTCAAAAAAGAACTAACATCTATTCTCCTCAAACTATTTCAAAAAATTCAAGAAGAAGGAAGACTTCCAAACTCGTTTTATGAGGCCAGCATAATTCTAATTCCAAAACCAGAAAAAGACACTACAAAGATAGAAAACTATAGGCCAATATCTCTGATGAACATAGACACCAAAATCCTGAACAAAATACTAGCAAATTGGATCCAGCAATACATCAAAAAAATTATTCACAATGACCAAGTGGGATTCATCCCAGGGATGCAAGGCTGGTACAATATTCGCAAATCAATAAATGTGATAAACCACACAAATAAAATGAAGAATAAAAACCACATGATCATATCAATAGATGCTGAAAAAGCATTTGACAAAATCCAGCATCCATTTCTGATAAAAACGCTCAGCAATGTGGGAATAGAGGGATCATATCTCGACCTAATAAAGGCCACAGATGAAAGACCTGTAGCCAACATCATACTCAATGGGCAGAAACTAAAAGCATTTCCCTTAAGAACAGGAACAAGACAGGGATTCCTACTTTCACCACTCTTATTTAACATAGTACTGGAAGTCTTAGCCACAGCATTCAGGCATGAAGAAAAAATAAAAGGGATCCAAATTGGAAAGGAGGAAGTGAAACTGTCATTATTTGCAGATGATGTGATATTATACATAGAAAACCCTAAAGATTTTGTCAAAAATCTACTAGACTTAATAAACGAATCTGGCAAAGTAGCAGGATACAAAATTAATGTCAAGAAATTGATGGTATTCTTATACACCAATGATGAACTCATAGAAAGAGAAACTGAAAAAAACAATCCCATTTACCATCGAAGCAAAATAATTAATATACCTAGGAATAAACTTAACCAAAGAAGTAAAGGACCTATTTGCAGAAAACTACAGGACATTGAAAAAAGAAATAGAGGAAGATATAAAAAAGTGGAAGCACATACCTTATTCATGGATTGGAAGAATTATCATCATTAAAATGTCCATATTACCCAAAGCAATCTATAGATTCAATGCAATTCCCATCAAAATACCAATGACATATTTCACAGAACTAGAACAAATACTTCAAAAGTTCATATGGAACCAAAAAGGCCCCGAATAGCCACGGCAATCTTGAAATAGAAGGACAAAGTAGGTGGGATCACAATACCAGATATCAGGTTATACTACAAAGCGACTGTAATCAAAACAGCCTGGTACTGGCACAAGAACAGGCATATAGACCAGTGGAACAGAATAGAGAACCCATAAATGGACCCAAGACACTATGCTCAATTAATATTTGACAAAGGTGGCAAGAGCATACAGTGGAGTAAAGACAGCCTCTTTAATAAATGGTGTTGGGAAAATTGGACAGCCACATACAAAAAAATGAAACTAGACCATCAACTTACATCATACACAAAAATAAACTCAAAATGGATAAAAGACTTAAATGTGACACATGAATCCATAAAAATTCTAGAAGAAAATGTAGGCAACAAAATTTCAGACATCATATGCAGCAGAATTTTCACTGATATATCACCTAAGGCATCAGAAACAAAGGAAAAAATGAACACGTGGGACTACATGAAACTCAAAAGCTTCTGCACAGCACAAGAAACAACCATCAAAATGGAAAGGCAACCCACTGTATGGGAGAGCATCACTGCCAATGATATATCAGATAAGGGGTTAATTTCCAATACATAGAGAGTGCTCATACAACTCAACAAAAGGAAGACAAAGAACCCTATTAAAAAATGGACAGAGGAGCTGAATAGACACCTCTCCAAACAGGACATACAAATGGCCAAGAGACATATGAAGAAATGCTCAACATCACTAATTATCAGAGAGATGCAAATTAAAACCACAATGAGGTGTCACCTCACACCTGTCAGAATGGCTGCCATCAACAAATTATCAAACAACAAGTGTTGGCGAGGGTGTGGAGAAAAGGGGACTCTAGTACACTGCTGGTGGGAATGCAGACTGGTGCAGGCACTATGAAAAACAATATGGTGTTACCTCAAAAAATTAAAAATTGAACTTCCATTTGACCCAGTGATCCCACTTCTAGAAATATACCCTAAGAAGCCTGAAACACCAATCAGAAAGAATATATGTACCCCCATGTTCATAGCAGCACTATTTACAATAGCTAAGATCTGGAAACAGCCCAAGTGTCCATCAGTAGACGAATGGATAAAAAAGCAGTGGTACACTTATACAATGGAGTACTATGGAGCCGTAAGAAAGAAAGATGTTTTATCCTTTGAGACAACATGAAGAGTCCTGGAAAGTATCGTCCTAAGTGAAACAAGCCAAGCAGAAAAAGACCAATACCACATGATCTCACTTATTTGTGGAATATAATGAACATAACAGTCTGAGGAATAGGGTAGACTCAGAAACGTGGAAGTAGAGTACAGACAGACAACCCTCAGAAGAGGGGGTGGTGGGGGGAGGGAAGAGATAAACCACACAACCTATATGCATGTACACATAACCAATGGACACGGACAACAAAGCCGGGGACCGGCTGGGGGGGATGGGGAGGAGGGTGCCAATGGGGTAAAAAAGGAGAAACATCGATAACAAAAATTAAATTAAAAATAAAATAAATTAAAAAAAACAACTCTTATAACTCAACAACACCAAAAAATTAACCCAATTCAAAGAAGATAGACAAATGACAAATAACACATGTAAAGATTCTCAACATCCCTAATCATTAGGGAAGAGCATGAGATACCACTTGACACCCATTAGAATGGCTATAATAATAATAATAATAATAATCACAGAAAATAACTGGTGTTGGGGAGGATGTGGAGAAATTGGAACCCATGTGCATTGTTGGTGGGAATGTAAAAATGATGCAACCACTGTGGTAGGCAGTATAGCATTTCCTCAGCAAATTAAACGTAGAATTACCATATGACCCAGCAAATCTCCCCCCGCCCCCAAATTGAAAGCAGGATCTTGAAGAGAAATATTCGTGCATCCATAGGCTCATAGCAATATTATTCACAGTAGCTAAAGGGTAGAAGTAATTCAGTGATGGATAAACGAATAAGCAAAACTTGTAGCATATACAATGCGACACTACTCTGTATTTAAAAGGAAAAAACTTCTGCCCTGGCCAGTTTGGCTCAGAGGTTGAGCGTCGACCTGCGGACCAGAGAGTCCCGGGTTCGGTTCCCACCAGGAGTACGTACCACAAAAAAATAAAATAAAATAAAAGGAAAAAACTCCTCACCCAGGCTACAATGTAGGCATACCTTGCAGACACTGTGCTAAGTGCAATAAGCCAGTCACAAGAGGACAAACACTGTGTGATCCCATGTACACGAGGTACTTTGAGTGGTCAAATCCATAGAGATAGAAACGAGAACAGTGGGTGCCAGGGGCTGAGTTGGGGGGAGTTGAATGGGGACAGAGGTTCAGTGTGAGATGAGGAAGAAGTTCTGGAACTAGGTGGTGGTGGAGATGGTTGCCCAATCGTGTGAATGTGTTTAGCACCCGAAGTGTTCACTTAAAAATGGTTAAAATGTTCAGTTTAATTATGTATATTTTACCACAATTAATTTTAAAAATATCAACCTGAAAGCATAATGTAACAGAGGGAGGTTGCAAGAGTGAGTTGGCAGGAGTGAGAAGCAAGAAGAACAAGGAAGGCAGGCGGCAGGCAGGAGGGAGGAGCAGGGGCAGGAAGATCAGAGACGAAGGGTGCAGGGCCCACCGTGAGCAGTGGGCGGTTCCGCCAACATCAGCCTTCCCAAGGGGTCCCGAATGGTGGGATGCACACTCCTTCCCAAACACGGGAAGGGAGGGGGCAACATTTAGCCCGTGTTATGCAGGATGCCCGGAGTCCTGATTTACCCTTTCTCTGCCCAGCTTCCTATGGCCCAGGAGGGGAGGGGTCTCAACAGAACTTTGAGAAGGGACAGCACAAACGTCGTCTTGAATATTCGATCTTTTCCAGTTCACCAGAGCCACTGAGACAACACCCCAGACTGTTTACAGGAAAGAGTATGTCCCCTTCCCTGGCCACAGACCCGACCAGATCTCCAGGTGGTATGGGAAGAGAAGAGTGGAGGTAAGAGGGAGTGGGGCCCCATGTTCAGGCTGTGCCCCTCCCCGAGGCTCAGAAGACCCCACCAGCCCAGTTCCCTCTTGGGAACATGGCAGTAGGCACACCAGTACCCTTCCAAGCCCAGGCGCTGCCCAGGGCTCTCTCCTTGATGACCTGATGAGCAGAGATCTGTCCGAGCTGGAGCTGGGAGGGTTGCCATCCTGCACCCCAGCACCTCTCTGCATCGTTCTCCCCGATCCTCCACACTCCAACAGGACACAGGCAAAGGGCATAGGGAATACGCAAACGAAGGTGGGAATATTGAGCCAAGGGGGCTGTAGCGAGGGATCACATAAGGTATTCCCAAAGCAAGTAGCTGTGATGTTTCGATAACATCTGCATCAGCTCAGCCCCAGCTTCCAGTTCTTGTGTATAAAAAGGGAACAGACTGACAAACCTCAGGGAGACGAGGGGTGGAGGAGTGGGAAGAGATAAACCAAAGAACGTATATGCATATATGCACAACCAATGGACACAGACACCAGTGTGGGAAGCAGGAGGGTTGTGGGAGTGGGGAGGAGGCCGTCAGTGGGGGAGAGAAAGGGGAACATCTGTAATACTTTCAACAATTATGATGAAAGTAATCTGTGACCATTCAGCACCCTCTCACTCACTGGGTGTTTGTGGTATGTCGTGTTCCAGGTCTGCGGAGCAGGCAGTGGGGAACCGAAACCTCAGGACACCCCCTCCCTCCACCCTCATCCGACCCTACACCTGCCAGAATGCAGGGTGGGGGCAGGGAGGTGCACAATGGGAACATTTTGGAGCGGGAAGAGATTGTTGAGCTCAGCACCCTGATTTTCCCATAAAAGGTGGCCAGGGTGCTAAGTGTCATGTCCAAGGCTGTGTAGCTGGTTGGTGAGGAATAAGCAGGTGGCTGCTCTGAAAATGAACAAGGAGTGTTCTGAGATGTCCCTTCGTCACTGCCGGAGTTGTCTTCTGCATTTGGGGATCCACGTCAGGAGGAACAGTGCCAGAATTTCAGCTCTGTGCTGGCACCCCTGTCTGTGCTGGCACCCCTGTCTGTGCTGGTACCCCTGGCTGTGCTGGTACCGCTGTCTGTGATGGTACCCCTGTCTCTGCTGGTACCCCTGGCTGTGCTGGTACCCCTGTCTGTGCTGGCACCCCTGTCTCTGCTGGTACCCCTGGCTGTGCTGGCACCCCTGTCTGTGCTGGTACCCCTGTCTGTGCTGCTACCCCTGGCTGTGCTGGTACCCCTGTCTGTGCTGGTACCCCTGTCTGTGCTGCTACCCCTGGCTGTGCTGGTACCCCTGTCTGTGCTGGCACCCCTGTCTGTGCTGGTACCCCTGGCTGTGCTGGTATGCCTGGACCATGGGGCACCCCTGGTTGGGCTGGTACGCCTGGACCATGGGGCATCTCTGGGCTGGGCTGGCATGCCTGGACCATGGGGCATCTCTGGGCTGGGCTGGTACGCCTGGACCATGGGGCACCTCTGGCTGTGCTGGTACGCCTGGACCATGGGGCATCTCTGGGCTGGGCTGGTACGCCTGGACCATGGGGCACCTCTGGCTGTGCTGGTACGCCTGGACCATGGGGCATCTCTGGGCTGGGCTGGCATGCCTGGACCATGGGGCATCTCTGGGCTGGGCTGGTACGCCTGGACCATGGGGCATCTCTGGGCTGGGCTGGTACGCCTGGACCATGGGGCATCTCTGGCTGTGCTGGTACGCCTGGACCATGGGGCATCTCTGGGCTGGGCTGGTATGCCTGGACCATGGGGCATCTCTGGGCTGGGCTGGTACGCCTGGACCATGGGGCATCTCTGGGCTGGACTGGTACGCCTGGACCATGGGGCTCTCTGGGCTGGGCTGGCAGCCCTGGACCATGGGGCATCTCTGGGCTGGATTGGTACGCCTGGACCATGGGGCATCTCTGGGCTGGGCTGGCAACCCTGGACCATGGGGCATCTCTGGGCTGGGCTGGCACGCCTGGACCATGGGGCATCTCTGGGCTGGGCTGGCAGCCCTGGACCATGCTGGCATCTCTGGGCTGGCAGCCCTGGACCTTGCTGGCATCTCTGGAGCTGCCACCTTCCCATTCCTTGCACTGAGGACACAAATGTATTTGACCATCAGGAAGCGAAACTTAGACCCACAGCCTGGGGCTTCCAGTCCCAAACCCTCAGTGCACACCAGGTACCTAAAGACCTTTGGGCCCAATGAAGGGAAGACCACACATGAATACAGTTGTTAAAATTAAGCCCGGTCAGTGTGGCTCAGTTGGTTGAGCATCGTCCCAGGCACCAGGAGGTCACCGGTTCGATTCCTGGTCAGGGCACATGCCTGGGTCCTGGACTCAGTCCCCAGTAGGGGGAGTGTAAGAGGCAGCTGATTGATGTTTCTTGTTGATGTTTCTCTTTCTCTCTATTCTTCTCTCTGAAATTAATAAAAATGTATTTTAAAAAAATGAAGACAGCCCTGGCCGGTTTGGCTCAGTGGTTGGAGCGTCGGCCTGGTGTCCAGAGAGACCCAGGTTCGGTTCCCGCTAAGGACACATACCTCAGTTGTAGTTTGTCCCCGGCCCTGGTTGGGTTGTATGGGTGGCAGCCACTCGATGTGTCCCTTTCACGTCGATGTTTCTCTTTCTCTCTCTCTCCCTCCCACTCTATCTGAACAAAAATGGAAAAATGTCCTTAGGTGAGGATTAAAAAAAAAACAAACAATGAAGACAAACCCCCCTCCCCCAACACACACACAGAATAAACCAAGCAATCACTCCTGTAGACTGTTCCAATGGCCTGTCTGTGTGGCTGCTCCCAACACCAGCTCTTCCCTGTGCTTCTTTCTGTACCCCGCCCCCAGGACAGTTCCCCTTCCCTCTCGCAGCCCCCCTCCCTCTGCTCCCTTCTTACGCGAATGCTGGTAGCTCTGCCAGCTGACCCGGGATGCCCCAAGGAGGACCTCCCGCCGGTGCTTTTTCCCCAGATGTATGAACCCCATTTATTATTTTTTCTATTTTATGATGCTTTGCTATCGCAGGGGCTTTGCTAATCCCAGAGAGGCTGCCCTCCCAGGGCTAGCTAATTCCTAGGGACAGGAGACAGCTGGCTGACCACCAGGCCTGTCCGATGCAAACCAAGCAACCAGAGCCCACATCTCTCACCCCTTCCGCTAGCAAACACTCGCAGACGGAGCCAATATCCTGATAGCCCAGAGCCCTCTGAAATTCCTCGAACTCTGCAATCCCAGACTTCTCACGCCTGCCTCCCTGCCCCGCACCTCACTGGGCATCCTCTTCCCTACGGCCACCTGACGGACCCTGGTGCTCCCCCACGCGGCCTGCGTGGTGCGGCGTCCCCCTCCTTTGGGACCTACACGCTCTCCTTTCAAAGGCAGTCGTCTCTGTGTGTGTCACCGTACCATACCTGAGGAAAACACAGATCCTGGGATCATATTCAAGATGGCAGGGCCGTGCCCCAAACTTAGAGAAAGAGCAAGAAGTCCGGGTGGCCTCTCTCCTCCCCTCCTCAGCACCCCCTTGGTTGATGGGAACCTCTTCGGCTTGTTTTCCCTGGCACTGGAACTACTCTGGGCACCTGGTGATGGAGATCTTGGGAACCCCTGCTTAATGTCTGTGCCCACCCCCCGTCTCCCTCTGGCATTGTGATCTGACTTATTTATGGAACCAGCACTTGAAATATTGGGCCAGCCAGCATTTCCAGACCATAGGAGACACTAGCCTCCCTGTCTGCTCCAGACAAGAGCGCGGGCATGAAAATCATCATTATCCTGCCCTGTAAATCAGCCCAGTCCCCAGGATGCCTGTCCGGGGCCACGAGGATTTTCACAGGAAAAGCACAGATTCAGGCAAACCTCCCAGAGCAAGGAGAACACGGCTTTCTTCTCCCTGTGAAGAACTCCCACCAAAGAAATGCCTCCCGCGTCTCCAGCTGAGGTTGCCATAAACCCTTTGCAGAAGCCGCCTCCGGAGCGCGCTCTGGCTCCCCCTAGTGACTGACTGGAGCACGAGGTGCACAGGTCAGGCTCTGTCTCCGGAAATAGGCGCTTAATGGGTGAGACTTGAGGCAAATGAAAGGGTGTGACTTCCCATCACAGGTGCCGGCAAGGACATGGCACTGGCTGTTCCTCTTCAGCCGGGTGTCTTGACTTTCGTGGTCATGTGTTCCCATAGTTCGGTGACTTGGCAGAGGCGGGGGGCCACTCAGAGAACTGGTCACAGCTAAGCTGAGACGTTGGTTTGAAGGTGAGCTGCGCTGGGGTTTGGTGGCCCCGAGAGTCCACACGGCCACACTCGCCAATAGCCTCTGGAGGTCCCTCGCCATCAGCTCACACACCTCCGTGGCCAGGGGATGCCTTGCTCTGCTCAGTCACACGCCCGCTGTGTCTTCTTTCCTTCCAGGGGCTCCCGTACAAACACCTGATCACCCACCACCAGGAGCCCCCACACCACCATCTGATCAGCACCTATGACGACCACTACAACCGGCACAATTACCACCCGGGCCTGCCCCCGCACCGCAGCTGGGGCAGACATAAGTTGCTGTGGCTTCCAGAGAAAGCCGACATCCCCCTTCTGGGTACTGTTATCATTCTGGGCTGTAGGGGGTCCACACCCGCTCAGGACTGAGGTGTTCCCGGCTCACGCAGAAGGGCCCGCATAGGGGCACTGACTCCGGGAGCGCATTAGAACGAGATGGTGGGGGTGGGGAGTCCTATCTGCCCCCAGGTCAGCCACCTGCCCTGTCCCCTTGTGGCGGGGATGGGCTGGCTGTGGGGTGAAGCCCTCCCGGTGCACCCAGCAGCCGGTTTCCCTGGAGCACAGGAGTTAGGGGCAGTGTCCCCACTCACGCCATCAGTCATTCATTTCACAAACAGTACTGTGGCCAGGTGCCAGGTCCCGCTGTAGCATCTGGAGACAGCAATGACAGACAGGCAGGAACTCCTGCCCTCGGGGAGTTGACGGTCCAGTCAGAGGTGGATAAGATACATTGAGCGGCCCTGGCCAGTTTGGCTCAGCGGTTAGAGCGTCGGCCTGCGGTCTCGAGAGACCCGGGTTCGGTTCCCGCTGAGGGCATGTACCTCAGTTGCAGTTTGTCCCCGGCCCTGGTTGGTCGTGCGGGTGGCAGCCACTCGATGTGTCCCTTTCACGTCGATGTTTCTCTCTCTCTTCCTCTTTCTCCCTCCCGCTCTATCTGAACAAAAAATGAAAAAATGTCCTCGGGTGAGGATAAAAAAACAGATACATTAAGCAATAGGGTAACCCAGGAAACCAGGTCATTGTGGACTGGGGCATATGCTCCGAAGAAGAGAAATCGGGTAGAAAGTGAGGCAAGTCTTCCTGTATCTCCTGGAGCTGGGGTGGTGAGGACGGTCTTCCCTGAGGGGATAATCGAGTTGAGAAGAAGGGAGCCACTCAGGGAGCAGGGGGAAGAGCATTCCAGGATGGGAGTGGCCAGTGAAAAAGCTGCAAGACAGGAGTAGAGGAAGACCCCCAGGGGCTCTTAGACCACAATAAGTGCGGATTTTGTCCTTCCCAGGGTACTGGGACTTTGGAGGAATTTACACAGGAGAGTACCTTGGTTTGATGCTCGCTGCAAACTAGCCCCACGCTTTTTTTGTTGTTGTTGTTGTTTTTTTATCCTCACCTGAGGACATTTTTCCATTTTTTGTTCAGGTAGAGTGGGAAGGGGAGAGAGAGAGAGAAACATGGATGTGAAAGGGACACATCGAGTGGCTGCCACCCGCACAACCAACCAGGGCCGGGGACAAACTGCAACTGAGGTACGTGCCCTCAGCGGGAACCAAACCCAGGTCTCTGTGGACCGCAGGCCGACGCTCTAACCGTGAGCCAAACCGCCCAGGGCTAGCCCCATCCTTTGCAGTCCCACCCTTGGGTGCAGAGGGACACAGGTCAGAGAGCCCGCTGCTTGTCACTCTGCATTACCTTTGCAGGGGTCACAAGCCCGAACTGCTCCTTCCCTACTGGAGTGGGACAGTTACCCCAGAGCCCGCAGGGCCACCCTCGCCCACGTCATGGGGCTGACTTTTCCCAGACTTCTCCAGGAGTTCCTGTCCCTACACTGGGACTGGACCCCCGCTGGAGGCTCCCAGGGACTGGCAGAGCCTACCTTCCCTCCAATCCCCTGCCAGCCTGCCTTCCCTCCGGTGCACTGCCAGCCAAGTGCCTGATGCCACAGTCTGGGGAGCCTCCAGGGTCCCGCCACCCACCGCTGGCCTGCTCACACAGACCCTGCTCTCTCTTGCAGCGCCCCCTACAAACTATGGACTCTATGAACAGCTGAAGCAGCGGTGGCTCCCCCCCAAGGCCGGCCTGGGACAAAGCGTGTACACCGTGTCCTACCCGAGACCACCCCTGTGCACTCTGTCTGGGCGGGAGCACGCCATCCCCGTCCCTCCCCCTCGCCTGCAGCCTGTCCCACGATTCTGAGAACTGCCACCGCACCCGCAGCTTGGGCAGACCAGCTGGAGACCCACCGCGCGAGCTACCTGCCAGGCAGCGGGCAGCTGCAGATACGCCCCGAGTTTCCAATCCCGCCATCGAGGGCCCCCAGAATCACGACGTGTGCTGTAGGGCTCCTGCCCCCCTTCTGGCTCACAGGTCCTTTCCCTTCCACCCCACAATTAAAGCATTTGACACAGTGCAGTGGCATGTACGTGAGGCTGAGCAGGCAAGAAACTGCAAGGACCCTTCAGTTCCACTCCCTCTTTTCACAAGAGGGGACACTGAGGCCCAGAGAGGTAATGTGGTCCCTTCAAGTTCTCACAACTTGGTACGTGCATCTCCGGCACAAGGGGAGAAACAAATCTGACTATGAGACCATCTCAAACCCCCACGGACTAGTCCAATGTGGTTATGGGGGCAGCAGGGAGGAGTCCGAGGGCCTCTCCTCTCCCCCACAGAGGCGCACTGACCCCGAAGGCTCAGAGAGAAGGCATAGCATCTCCCTCCCACCCCCGAACTCGATGAGGGCGGGTCCCCTGACAGAGGAGCTCGGGTACTGCCTGGCACAGGGACTTGGTGCTGCCCCCACGCAGGGCAGAGCCTCCTGAGGCACATTCTGACCCCCATGTGGAGGCCACCTCGGGTAGAGAGCAGCATGTCCCGATCTGCCCCCTCTGACTGTCAGGATTGGACAGGTAGAGTATTCCTGCGAATGGCCTTTCTCTGCCGTAGGTCTTCACCCCATTGTTTTCATGCACTATGTAGAGACAGCGCTTGGTATACAGCTGGTGCTTAATGATTCTTGGCTGGATGAAGGCACCACTGTCTGTGGGGAGCTCCTTAATGAACCCCACTCTGCCCCAGTCATGACGTCCAGTTTGAGCCTGTGCCCAGCTGCTTCCTGTCAACACGGGGACGTGCCAACCTGCAGAGAATGTTGATAGGAGTTTATATTAGCATTTGTTTGAGCCACACAGAGGACATGCCTGCAAGAGCTCAACAGACTGAGTACAGAATGAGGTTGCTTCTTTCACACTTTGGAACTGAGGCGGGAGTGTGAGGAAGACCCCGTGGAGGCGGGGACTCTCAGCCACTGGATTACAAGAGAGTTGAGAAGATGATGTGGTCTTTTGAGGGTGATTATGATTCTGAGGGGTCTGAAAAAGAGGCATTTCAAAGGCGTGTATGCACAAAAGCAATGGACCAAGTTTGCTTAAGGTGAAGATAAACCTTTTTTTTTTTATTTTTTATTTTTATCCTCACCCGAGGACATTTTTCCATTTTTTGTACAGACAGAGTGGGAGGGAGAGAGAGAGAGAGAGAGGGAAACATCGATGTGAAAGGGACACATCGAGTGGCTGCCACCCGCACGACCAACCAGGGCCGGGGACAAACTGCAACCAAGGTACATGCCCTTAGCGGGAACCGAACCCAGGTCTCTCCGGACCGCAGGCGGGCGCTCTAACCACTGAGCCAAACCGGCCAGGGCTGAAGATAAACCTTATAGAGGCCTGGGTGTGACTCCCACCTGCCATCTCTCAGCCGCCGGATTGGTGCAATGCAATGAAACCACAAGCACACGCTGCTTGGAGTGAGGGGGAGCTTTGCAAGGTACCAAATGCTCCAGATCTCTGGATGCAGCCCCATTTATTTGCAGATTGGTACCCCCAGGTCACAAGTGGATTTAAGTAAATTATTTCCTTGAGATGGCATTACTACAAACATACACCCTAGCTTTGTCTCCTGCTTTTTACGGAAAGAGACCTTGAAGCCAAAAAATAACAAACCCTTATTCACATGCAAATGAAGTACCCAATACACTGGGCGGGCCAGGTTTCCCTCCAGGCTAGGATTCCGAGAATGCATTAACACAAGGTTAAAAAAACGTTCATCTCCTGACCCACCCCTTTAGGAATTATGATCAGATCACCCTGTGAGGTGACTTTCAGTTTGATTTATTACAGAACTCCCTCCCCCCCTTTCTCAATCACATTCCTAAAACTCTTGCCCCAAGATGGACCTGTGTCCAGGCCCCAACCCATTCTGATGCCTAGAGACCCCATATTCTTCCGTTGCTGACTCAGAGGCCGGGAGCTCCCTCCACTCCGCTGCCAGAGAGGAAATCAGCTCTGCTCCATTCCCGAGAACCTGGCCCCCCACCCAACCCTGGCCTCAGTGCAAGTCTGCAGTTTGGCAGCCACCCCACACGTTCTGCCACTACCACAAGTAATCAATAAGTAAACAACAGTTCTTTCTTCTGCTTTGCAGAATAATGAAAGAACTATGACTCTTTTCTTGATTTTTGTCACTTGCTACCACTTTCTAGCAAATAATCAAGAAAGACTAAAAGGCAGGAAAAAATGTTTTGGTTTAATATATATTGTGGGACCCGGCCGGTATGGCTTTAGTGGTTGATCATGATCCCAAGGGGTCACTGGCTCAATTACCAGTCAGGACACATGCCTGGGCTGCAGGCTTGATCTCCAGTAAGAGGCGTGCAGGAGGCGGCTGATTGATGTTTCTTTCTCATCGATGTTTTGTTGTAGACCAACGAGACAGACCAGACTCAGACTCCGAACTGGGTTCAAATTAAGAGAGCTTTATTAGCCGCGAGGCGACGGTCCCATCCTACTCAGAGGAGAGAGCAGCCCCGAGCTCAGGGGGTGGGTTGCTTATATAGTTGTCTTAGCCCCTTAAGGAATTTGGGTTAAGGGTATGCGAGCAAGCAAGCATGTACAGAAGCAGATATTTGCAGTTAGCTGTTATGCCTGAGGGAACAATCAGTTTCTGTGTACACAAAGCAATGGTTATCTATACAATGCAGTGGTTATCTATTAGCAGCTAGTTCTTGCCATTCCCTTAAATCCAGGGGGCAAGGTCATGTGTTTGTCCTTTACAGTTTTTCTTGCTCCCTCTACCTTCCTCTCTCTGAAATCAATAAAAACATATTAAAAAAATAATATATGGCCCTGGCTCGTTGAGCAATGGTTAGAGCATTGGCCCAAGGACCAAAGAGTCATGAGTTCAATCCTCAGTGCTAACCAGGGCTGTGTGAGAGGCAACCAATTGATGTGTCTCTCTCATCGCTGTCTCTCTCTCTCTCTTCCCTCTGTCTCTCTCACATCGCTGTCTCTCTCTCTCTCTTCCCTCTTACTCTCTCTAAAAGTCAATGGAAAATATCCTCAGGTGAGGAGCCTCAGGTGAGGAGATATATATATATATATATATGGGGAACTAAGAGCCAGGACCTGGGTTTCCACAGGCTGACCCCGCTGACTGTCATCACCACGCCATCCATGACAGGTACCCGCAGGTAGGGGTTCTCAGTTTAATTAAAAGGTAAACAGCCGAGGCCACAGAGAACAACTCGGACCTGAGGCCGAGTCCACTCCCATGGCAGCCACTCCCTCGCCCAGACACGCTGCTTTGACTCTGGAACCCACCTTAGGAGCGGATCCTGAGCGGCACCCAGGAGCTTGGCCCACTGGCCGGGACAAGCCTGCCCCCTGATGGCCAACCTGACACCAATGGATGGAGGCTGAGGTTGCAGGTTCGGCGTTTCTCTGTGACGGAAACTGACTCTGGGGAGCAGATGTGAAAGTCACTCAGGCAGATTTTCTTTGTTCTCGGAAAACATCTGTCGTCTGGCGGTGAACCTGGGGGAACTGGGGCTCACGTCGAGGTCCCAGTTGTGGCCTGACATTAACCTGCTGGGAGCCCCTGTTGCTGGGTGTCCCCGAGCCTCAGTGTCTTCAGCTCAGAAACGGGATGTCTGAGGTCCTGGAGGGAAGGGGATGAGACGTAGGTACCCCGGGGGCTCCTGAATCTGGCTTCCGGCTGGGCTCTGTTGGCAGGACCAGGACTCCCGCAGACACTGTACAGGAGGGCTCGGCCACATGTGGTTTCTGGGAACACAGGTCCCCAACTCTCACCGCGGGCCTCCCACCCATTGCCCACTGCCCAGTCTCCCCACCAGGGAGAACGGTTTCCTCCTCTGTCTGGTACAAAACTGCACCCTACGGTCAAATTGCTGTTGGACACGATCCCCCACAGCCTCCAGGACCGGCGGGGGATGAGGGAAGGGTGCAGGCGGGGACAGGGGACCTGGAGAGCACAGGACCCCGCGTCAGCGACAGCTGCCTCCCCGTTCGTAGCGAGGGACCCCACGCAGGGGCAGTGTTGTTCGACCTTCCTTTCCATTGGAGAGTAAACTGTAATGTGCAATCTGATTTTAACCTCTGGCCGCAAATTTTACTTTGTAAAAGGTCCCCAACGTATCTGTGGGACACGTTTGGCTGGGGGATGCCACTTCGTAGCCTCCGATGTGGGAAAATGGCCTGACTCAGAGTGAGCGGATGAAGTCAGAAGAGACGCCGCATTTCTTCACGGCAGACCTGAGGCAACCTTGGTCAGGGGCCTGGCTTTGGAACCTAATGTGCTTGAGTCTCCTACCCTGCACCACCGGGCATAAGCTACGCGGTCCATGGGAGGCATTTGCAAACAGCTGTCAAATGGATAGAATTACATTGTCTACGCTATTCGGTACATTGGTTTGGTCACCCAGTGATGGAATTGTCTGAAACGTAACACATGGCCCCAGCTGACTTCTTCCTTTTTTTTTTTTTCCTACCTGCTCCTTTCCCATTCCTCCCCGTCTCCGGCAGCCACCGCCCGCCTCTGGGAGGTCCCTCGGTCCCTCGTGCCTCACATGCCCTCTAAGAGCAAGTCCTGCTGGTTTGGTCTTCAGGACGTCCCTGAAACTGCCCCAAGGCCACTCATTCAAGTATAAGCCAGGATCCCCCCGGGAGCAGCGAGGGTCTCCGCGCTGGCATTCCTGCCTCCTGGTGCCCTGTCCCAGGGAACAGGGTCCTACGGCCACCAGTGGAGCTGGAAACACACATCAGCTCATGTCACCACCCTACTTAGAAGCCTCCAATGGCCCCTTAGGTGCTCCAGCCCTGCCTCCCCAGCCTCCTCTCTTTGGG